GAGCGTGCGAGTGAACAAGTAAGCAAATCGGAACGGAGCAAACTGGTCGAGGCGCAAGTTCAGGTTGGTCTGGAAGACAGTGGTAGCAGGAGCGCAACTGATGAGCACAGTAGCGCTGTGGAGAAAACCGTCTTTAGCTCGGTAGTTGAGCACGAGAGTGAGGACGTCTTCTTCACTCCCAGAAGCAAAATAAGCAATTTTGAAAAGATACATGCTGTCGGCTCACAGGAACTGGTGGACGATGATGCTGGCGATGTGAGTGATTTTTAGCCAGTAACAGGCCTGAAATTCGTTGGTCAGCTTGTTTTCAACGTGATGTTCTTCCAGAAGCCGAATGATGGACCCCAAGGCCAGGAAGAAGCCAGCAGCGGACCTATTAATAATGAGGACCTCGGTAACTTCATCTTTGAGGACAACTACTTTGAAGACAGCTGGGGAGTGCATTCAAGCGAATTACTAGGTGCTTTCTGGCGCCCGACTGGCACTGACACTCCTGCATCCACCAGAACTGTTAGCTATTCCTCCATGCTTCTAATTTACTGCTTTTAATAGTTTGTTTTCACCACAAAAGCATATCGTTGTTTAGACTTGTTCTGGGGCTGCTGATATTGCAGCACTGGAATTACGGGCCCTTGCAGCACTTCACGTCATTCAGTTTACATGCATGTAGTGGGAAAGAGCGCTAATTCGTTTCTAAGAAATGTGCCGCCTTCCCGAAGCAATAGAAAAATAAGGAAACAAATACCACGCGTGTCAGCAGGCTGTCCGTGTGGCGGTAGCACCATGGAAAAGCTGCCAGCTGTACCAATGGCTGTTGTACACCAGTGATTCATCTGAGTTGGCGGAAAAGTAAATGAGAAGGTCGATAGGTGAGTAAGCAAGTAGACAAGCGAAACCAGTAACTGCAGTGTTAATAAAGCATTTAAATGCGGAAATAATTCGGCAAGTAAGTAAGCAGGCAGGTGAATTAGCACGAGAGATTTATCGTGTGGATAAGCAAGCTAATAAGCGGAAAATTAGGTAAGTGACATTACGGGCTGCTTATCATCCTCTCTCCTCTCTTCCCATCATTATCATTATTATTTGTTCTGCGTAGCCACAAGCGCTGTCCGCAACTGGGAAGGATTATGAAAAGGTAATCCAACAACTCTACTAACTGGTAACGAACATTTAGGACCTTACTATAACGCCATCTGTTCGCGAGCAGTTTATCTCACCAACCGCAAAACCAGCAGCTGACATACGCTCATGTAATTATTTATGATTTTCGAATCGATTTTTATGCGTTTTTGCACATATGCAAATTGCGAAAACGCATATTGGCAAGAGGCAGTGTGTGTTTGTGTGTCTGCGTGTGTCTGTGTGTTCACACTTTTTGTTACCCACTTCCGACTCGAGAACCAGAAAAGCTAGAAGGCTGAAACTTTGGGAGTGTGTGCCTATACCATGCGCGACCCTCCTACTTTAATATCATCGTCCGCCTGCGCC